TAAAAGACACACAATGAATATATAAATAAATAAATAAATAACTCAGCAGAGAGATAAGGAAATAAATAGATGAAATAAGTAAATAAAGAGCATACAGGATAAAAAGAACATTCTCACCCTCAAGAGTGAATGAAATTTAGACATTTTTCAGAAAACAGATACAACTGAGGATGACTGTGTTATGTGTGACAAGCTTGTCCCAAAAGACAAGGATCACTGTTTTCTTTCATAAGCAAAATGTGCAGGTCCTAGGCATCAGAACATGAACAACAGAACACTCAGGACATGAAATAGTACAGTGGTCTTCCTGGAATGGTCCACAATGTTCCTGGGAGTGATTGATCACCTCTATCATCATGCACTGTCTAGAGTGGGCTGCATAGAGTCCCAGTTGGTTCAGATTTCAGAAAACTTTAGCCCTGGGCTCTCCATTAACCAGGGAGTATGAACAAAGTTCAGTGGCCTAAAACCAACCCAAAGTGGTTTTGACAAATAACAAAAGCACTGTGGGACCCATGAGCAAGAGGAGCCATGGAAGTCAGCAGACAAGCAGACAGAATCTGGGTGTCAGGTGAGTAGAACTGGAAGCTCCTATGTAGAATCTGTGGCTTCATGTACCTCCTCTGCCACTGGTGTCCTTAAAGTGAAAGTCCTGCCTCCAACATCCCAAGAAAGGCACCAGCTGTCTCAGTGACCCACCTTGAGTCTTCAGCTGTGATCTCAAGGCTCAAATTGAAAGAACTCAATCAATTAGACCAGGTAGCCAATCTGGACGCTCCTGGTTGGTCAGGTTGAAGTCATGGGTTTTGTGCCTGGACTGCAGTAGGGATCCTATAAAAACAGGGTTAGAAAGTAGCCTTTGCATGCTCTGTGCCTTGTTTCCAAGGATGTGTCAGCTAGGGCATACCTCCTCCAGCCCACTGACTGGGGTCCCCAGAAGAATTCATGACAGCAGTTCTCACCTCCAGGTATCTGTTCACTGGTGGACATAGACTTCTATTCTGAAGGTTAGATTTGGACTTTGCTGCTGTTTGTAGTCCATCCTGGATGAAAGAACCTTCAGTTCAATCCCTGAAGCTGTTAGGGTGAAAGAAGCACAAGACTTGTCTCTTTTCCCTCAAATTTTTGAGGAATTTACCATTGATGCTATACGTACAGTACTTGAAGCCAGGCATCGGAGTCCACATCTGTAATCACAGCACTCAGGAGGCATCAAAAAGAAGGTCAATCTCTGTGAGATTGAGACTGCATGTTCTACACAGAGAGTGTCAGGAT